GCTTCTTGGTGCCGGCAGCCTTGGTGACCTTGAGCACGTTGAAGCGCACTGTCTTGCTCAGGGGCCGACACTCACCCACTGTGACGATGTCACCGATCTGGACGTCCCTGTGGAGGCAGGTAAGGCCATGTCCTCAGGAGGGGCCACCCCGGCGGACCCCAGGAGGCCCTCCCTCCCCTTCGCCAGGCTGAAGGCTCTCTGCTTTGGCTCCACCAAACCCTAACCAAGATCTATTTGCCAATTCAACCTCCCTCTCATTCTTTGGTACAAACTTTGTGCCAAGTACCAAGCTCAACGCTGTACACAGAGCAGGCGACCACCCTTCTGAGGACTGCTGGGGTGGACGAGCTCCATTTCACAACCAAACTGGAGGCCCCCAGGTTGTCAGTGGCCTCCTCACCACCCCACTCCAGCAGAGCAGCAGGGGGATCCTGTAGCACCCACGACCACAGGCCCCTTACCGCTCAGCATCAGTTCGGGCCACCCTCCTCCCTGCCCACAGGACTTCTCACCTTGCTCCCAACATCCTCCCGCCCAGAGGGCCACCATTATCAGCTGCCCACATCCCCACCCTCATTGTACCTGGCTGACATCTGGCACCCACCCTGCCTGAAGGTGCCCTGAGGAAGCAGGACTTTGTCCCTGGCTCACCACTGAACCCCCAGCATCTCACACCAAACCTGGCACGTGATAAACTCTAAATAAAACACGCTGAGGGAATGAACAAACATTTAATTCCAACATTTCTGAGGTTCCCATCTGGTGTAACCTTTTGGTTCCAAGGCACCTGACTATTACAGGTTCAGCACCCCTAATTCAAAAATTCTGAAATGCTGCAAAATCTGAATTTTGTGTGTGTGTCTGGGAGAGACAGGGTCTTACTCTGTTGCCCAGGCTGGAGAGTAGTGGTGCCATCTCGGCTCACTGCAGCCTCCACTTTCTGGGCTCAAGCAATCCTCCCACCCCAGCCTCCTGAGGACCTGAGACTACAGCACATGCTACCACACCTGGCAAACTTTTGTATTTTCTGTAGTGGGTTTTGCCATGTGCCCAGGCTGGTCTCAAACTCCTGGGCTCAAGGGATCCTCTTGCCTCAGCCTCCTACAGTGCTAGGATGACTGGCTTGAGCCCGGTGCCCAGCTAAAATCAGACATTTTTTGCATACCAGCATGACACCTTTGCTTTCCCGTGGTTCAATGTATGCAAACTTTGTTTCACACACAGAATTATAAAATGTCCTGCGTAAGATTACTTTCAGGCTGTGTAAGATGGACATGAAACAAATGAGCTTCGTGTTTAGACCTATGTCATATGTCACATTCCCAAAACATCTCATTATGTATATGAGAACATTCCAAAATCTGGTCCCAAGCGTTTCAGACAGAGATATTCAACCTGTGGAACACTTTGATTCTGAAGAACATATAATATAGAAATCCTGAGACTCTGGGTCTTCCCAGAGATGCCACCTCAGTCACCCACTCCCTCAGTTGGCCTTAAATTGGCCTGAGCAACCTGATGGGCCACTGTGCTCACCTGAAGCAGGGGGACAGGTGCACAGACATGTTCTTGTGGCGCTTCTCGAAGCGGTTGTACTTGCGGATGTAGTGGAGGTAGTCCCGGCGGATGACAATGGTCCTCTGCATCTTCATCTTTGTCACCACACCTAGGAGCAGGGGCAGATCCTAGGTCAAGTCCCATGGGAAAGAGGGCCATGGGTAACCTGGGGCATGCTGGGAGTCAGCAGCAGCTGAGCAGAAATCCCAAGAAGCCCTGTTTCCGGCATCAGTTTTAACCAAGTGGCTTTCTCAGCAGTGCCCACGTGGGCATCTGAAGACCATCGTGAAAACCGACATCATCTGCCAGTGTCCCTGCCTGTACCCACAAGTTTGCATTCCCAACCACCTCTCTCACCCAGGACCCAGGAGTCTGGGCCCCAAGCCCATTCTTTCAGTATTTCAGGCCCCAGACACCAAGAACTCCCGCACTTACCAGAGAGGATCCGCCCTCGAATGGAGACATTACCAGTGAAGGGGCATTTCTTGTCAATGTAAGTGCCCTCAATAGCCTGAACGGATAGGAAAGAGAAAAGAGTGAGCCTTGGGCAGGCGGTTCCTGAAAAGAGCCGGGGGCGTGGCCCTAGGGAAGCGAACTACAATTCCCATCAGCCCCGGGACCGGCCACTCAGACGCAACTCGATGTGGGCACACGTGCAGGGACGCCACGGTCCCCTTCTTTCTTCTGAGGTTCCCCGCACCTCTTTGGGTGTCTTGAAGCCCAGACCGATGTTCTTGTAGTACCGCGGGAGCTTCTCCTTGCCAGTTTCTCCCAGCAGGACCCTCTTCTTGTTT